CCCGAGAGGATCTGCAGTGTGAGCGCTCTCCTGGCACTCTGCTCCAGGCATCACAGCGACACCACTGCCTCTCTGCCTCAGGATGCTTTATGCATGCCTCACTGACTTGCTTCGCAATGGGAGAATTTAAGTCAAGGCAACTTCGTCTAGAAACATGGAGATGCTCTTATATTAGGTCTCTGAAACAAGAAGCGGAAAGAAGCCCCTAAATTTTTTTCAGTTTCTTCTAGGGGGCTTCATTCTAAGGGCATAAACCTAATCAATCCATCTTCCTCACAGCCACCCTTCACAACTGAGCATGAGTTCCTGTCTCTTTCAGCCTTCCCTCAAGCTGAACATCAACACTGTCCTGGAAATGGGGAGTGTGGGTATGCTGAAGAAATCGATTTTTAGGGGCCAGCAAGACAGCTCAACAAACTAAAGCGCCTGCTTAGGCAAGTTTAGGCAACCATAGAGACCATGGTTCAATCCCCAGCATATACTTTGAGCCAGCCACAGAGTCTGGATGGAGAGGTGCATGCCTGTAATTTCAGCGCTAGGGAGACTGAAAACAGGAGGATCACTATGAATCTGAGCCGTGTAACGAGACCATATAGCAACCAAATACATTTAAAAAAAAAAAAAAGAAGAAAGAAAAGAAAATCATTTTCAGCAGCCTATAAGCTCTTTTTAAAAATCTATTTCTTGTAATATGCCATGCAGAAAATTCTTTTGCATTGTTTATGTAAGAGATAAAGAATGTATCTATAGCCACTTATCTCTTTCCACTTCTTATTTCAGAGATTTTATGGATAAATGATTAAATGTGGGGGCTGGCCTGACAGCTCAGCAGACTAAAAAACCTGCTTAAGACAGAGAGCAGCAGCCAAGGTTTGCTCCCGGGTGTGCTGTGCCTGCCCTGCCCGCAGGGTGCACTGAGACAGAGATGGAGACTGGGCGTGGTGGTGCAGGCCTGCTAATCCCAGTACTTGGGAGGCTGAATACAGGAGGATCACCACGAGTCCGATCTATGTAGTGAGTCCCTGTACACCCTGTAGAGCCTGTCATAAACACAAAAATAAATAAATAAATAAATAAATAGTTTATTTTAAGCATCAGAAAATACTTAGAGCTAAACTTGAGAGACATTTTATAGATTATTACTTGAATTTCTTTAATTTTTGTTTATATGACAAAGTGAATTTGCTGTTTGGGAAAACATGGTAATCACCCTTATGTTCTACAAAAGCAGGAAAATGGATTGTCTTAACAGTACTTCTCAGCTTTTTGGCTTGATCCAAATGTTTTGTTCAAATATCCCAACTCTTTTATATCACTCCAATTTCTCTTTTTAAATCACCTCTGACTAGGCAACCTGAAGGAAATGTCACAACATCACCTAAGCAGGTGAGGACACTGGAGAAATAGGCAAGGCCTGCTTGCTACCTACTTATTTCTAGAGACGACTTGAATATGCAAAATCAGAACAAAAAATAATTTTGTCAGTGTATGTTTCAATACATAATTGTAATGTTTCTCTTCTGATGGTGTCCATTCTTATGCTTTCAAATATTATCCACAATCCCCCAATTTTAAATACTTAGTTTAATATAGACACATTCTCTCTCTTTCTCTCTCTCTCTCTCT